TGCTGGATTGGCCAACTAGGGGCCGTACCCTTCTTGACCTGCTGCTCACAAACGATGAAGAATTGTTGGGGAATGTATTGCTAGATGGCAACTTGGGTATTAGTGACCATGAGATGATTTCAGTTCAGGACCCTAAGGAAAGGAAGGATGGAGAACAGCAGAGTAAGGACCCTGGACTTCAGAAAAGCAGACTTTGACTTGCTCAGGAAACTGATGGGTAGGATCCCCTGGGAAGCCAGTCTCAGGGGGGAGGAGTCCAGGAGAGCTGGCTGTACTTTACAGAAGCCTTACTGAAGTGCAGGAACAAATCATCCTGACACACAGGAAGACTAGCAAGTATGGCAGAAGACCAGCTTGGCTTAGTAGGGAACTCTTCAGTAAACTAAGTCACAAAAAGGGAGTTTATAAGAAGTGGAAACTTGGACAAACAATTTGGGATGAATACAAAATTATTGCTCAGGGATGAAGTTAGGAAGGCCAAAGCGCAATTGGAGTTGCAGCTAGCAAGGGATGTGAAGGGTAACAAGAAGAAGATCAGAGAAAGTATGAGTCCCTTATTGAATGGAGGAAGCAACCTAGTAATAGAGGATGCAGAAAAGATTGAAGTACTCCATGCCTTTTTCAACTCAGTTTTCACAGGCAAGGTCAGCTCCCAGATTACTGCGCCTGGCAGCACAGTTTGGGGAGGAGGTGAACATCCAACAGTAGTGAAAGAACAGATTAGGGACTATTTAGAAAAGCTGGACATATACAAATCCATGGAGCCAGATAGGATGCACCCAAGGGTGCTGAGGGAGTTGGCTGATGTGATTGCAGAACCACTGGCCATCATCTTTGAAAACTCATGGCAATCAGATGTCCTGGATGATTAGAAAAGGGCAAAAATAGTGCCCACATTTAAGAAAGGGGAAAAAGGATGCAGGGAACTACAGACCAATCAGCCTCACCTCGGTCCCTGGAAAAATCATAGAGCAGATCCTCAAGGAATCCATTTCTATGCACTTGGAGGAGAAGGTGGTGATTAGGAACAGTCAGCAAGTCATGCCTGACCAACTGATTGCCTTCTATGATGAGATGACTGGCTCTGTGGATGTAAGGAGACCAATGGCTGTGATATATCTTGATTTTAGCAAGGCTTTTGATATGGTTTCCTACAACATTCTCACAGGCAAACTAAGGAAGTACGGGCTGGCTGGATGAATGGACTGTAAGGGGGATAGAAAACTGGCTGAAGCATTGGGCTCACAGAGTAGTAATCAATGGCTCAGTGTCTAGCTGGAAGCCAGTCTCAAGTGTAGTGCCCCAGGATCAATCCTGGAACCAGGTTTGTTCAGTACCTTCATCAGAGACCTGGAAGATGGCAGAGTGCACCCTCAGCAAGCTTGCAGATGACATCAAGCTGGGGGAAGTAGCGGATACGCTGGAGGGTAGGGCTAGGATTCAGAAGTGACCCAGACAAATTGAGGATTGGGCCAAATGAAAATTCATGAGGTTCAGCAAGGACAAGTGCAAAGTCTTGCACTTAGGGTGGAACAATCGCATGCACCAGTACAGGCTGGGGACTGACTGGCTAAGCAGCAGCTCTGCCAAAATGGACCTGGGCGTTACAGTGGACAATAAGCTGAATATGAGCCAGCAGTGTGCCCTTGTTGTAAAAAAGGCTAATGGCATACTTGGCTGCATTGGTAAGTGTGTTGCCAGCAGGTCAAGGGAAGTGATTATTTCCCACTATTCAGCACTGGTGAGGCCACATCTGGAGTACTGTGTCCAGTTTTGGGCCCCCCACTACAGAAAAGATGTAGACAAATTGAAGAGTCCAGTGGAGGGCAACAGAAATGATGAGGGGCTGGAGGACATGACTTATGAGGAGAGCGAACTGGGCGTAGTTAGTCTAGGGAAGAGAAGACCGAGAGGGGATTTAATACCAGCCTTAAACTAACTGGAGGGGAGTTCCAAAGAGGATGCAGCTAGACTGTTCTCAGTGGTGGCAGAAGACAGAACAAGGCTCAAGTTTCAGCAAGGGAAGTTTAGGTTAGATATTAGGAAGAATTTTCTCACTAGAAGGGTAGTAAAAACACTAGAACAGGATACCCAGAGAAGTGATGGACTCTCCATCCTTGGAGGTTTTTAAGACTCAGCTAGACAAAGCCTTGGCTGGGATGATCTAGTTGGGGATGGCCCTGCTTTGAGCAGAGGGTTGGACTAGATGACCTCGTGAGGTCCCTTGCAACCCTAATTTTCTATGATTCTATAACCCTCCATGCTCCCTGCCAGCCCAGGGCTGCTCTGCCCCAGCGCAAATTGTTGCTGTCCTGGGCGCATGTGTAGATGCTGCATCTGGGAGCAGCTGACTCTGTCTCAGGCTGCTCTGAATTTTATTGTGTCCCATTAATTTCATGTGTTGATGCACCCCTTGTGTTGTATTTCTAAGCTGAACTGACTTCTTTACGCTGTTTCCTAGCTTTCTAATGGGGTGATGCATTTTGCCACTCAGGCACTACAGCCAGTGAGACCACTAGTGCAAAAAAGGACAGTTCCCTTTCTACAGTTACATGCACACACTTACTATTTTATAAAATCAACACAAGCATTTTGCAAGTAGTCAGAACCAGGCATCACCTGGTAGAAAAGAACATGAAGGCGAGTCCCATGGCCCCATAGCTCCTCATATGCATTACAACTTTCCCATAGTAGCAGGAACATCTCTGTGGGGGCTGGTGGTCTAGCAGCTGGTGTGGGGGGGAGAAGAGTTTGTACATTGGCAGAAAAACAAATACATCTAGTTCTCCTTTAGCTGCCAAGTTACTGTTCCCTGTCTTGCATTGTAAGCTCCTTGGGGGAGGAGCTTCGTCTCTGTATTCTGGGTAGTATACAGAGGTGGAACTGTGCAGTACCCAGCAAGGTGCGTCATGGTTTGACTGGAGTTTCTACACACTCCTGCTATACAGATGATGATAAATTATAGCCCTTTTTAACTGCAGAACTCAGACGGGAGGGCACTGTTGTCTCTTTTACATAGATGGGGCAACTAAGGCACAGTGAAGTGACTTAGCCATGGTCAACCAGTCAGATATGCAAACAGAGCCCAGCTCTCTTGAACGCTAGTTTGGTGCCCTCTCAGGGCCCCTCTTTCTGCCTTCCCTTATGTTTTCTCTTCATTGAGACATAGCCCCAGTTCTCATATTGATGACTGGAGTTGTGAGGCTGTGACTGAGTCAAGTTTCTCACTGTGCTGTTATTTTGCAGAAAGCTCTTAGGTTTTAGAACTCATCGCAGTCATCCGGGGCTGGGACCCATCGCTCCAAACACCGGAAACATGGGAGAGGCGAGTGTCTGCTTTCTGTGCCAAGTGGAACACACAGTCAAGCTCCCCGGTCAATCTGCGAGCTGGCAGGAGAGGAGCTGCCCAGAAGCAATGCTTTCAGTGCTAGGCATGGTAGAAAGAGGCTGTGGCAGCGAGAAGTAAGCCCAAATGGTTTCATGGGAAATATGAGATCCATGGCAAGGCTGTGCTTCTCCCTCAGCCTCAACATAAGGAGCAGAGGAAATCCTGGTCTTGAAGCTCCAGGACACTTTGACCTTGACATTACTATGCGGGCTGGGCTCCCTTGGTCTCCCACCAGAGGCTGATGATACCTCTCTACACCAGCTTTCTCTCCTGCCTTTTAGCCCAACAAAACTGCAGCATGGATAAGGCTGGTCCTGAGTGAACAACCTCCCTATTGGTGCCAAGAGTCTGCCCCAGCTAAACAAAACAACAATTGTATATTGGGGGGTGGGAGGGAGGAAGTGTAGAAATCCCACTGCATGGGAAATTGCTGTATCTTGATGCCTCTTGTGCAGGTTTTCAGCATCTGGGCAGTGTTGTGAGGCCAGGAGCAAGATGGCATCACTATCCATGCCCTCTAACAACCCTCTGCATCTGGTGCATTGGGCAGCTGATGTCATATGTTTCTAAACCTGCTTCCTTCCCCTACCTGCTAGGGGTCTGTGTGCTTTTGTCTCCCTTCCTTTCCCAGCGTGGATGAGAAAGTTTTGTTCAGGAACTTGCCCTGAATCCAGAAGTCTGGAATCAGCCCATGCCCTAATTCTTCCTAATAGTGCTCAGGCTTTGGGGTAATACCATATTTATTCACACACCCCTGAATAAGATGTGCATGTTGTTCTGGGAAGGCAGCAGAATGAAGAAGAAAAAAGACTGTTCCTTGAACATAAGTTAAGTAACTTGATATAACAAGTTATAAAATAAAGAAAACTGTGTTGTTCCACTCATGACCACATGCATTCACATATGCCACCAGACTGATTCAGTCAGCATGGGCACACAATCTGAAATGGCAGTAAGCCTGTGTGAAGTAATGACATCAGTTCACCTACGAATACACCGAAACATACTTTTAATCAAACTGCTCAGAAATAAGTTCTCATTGAAGATGCACCTCCTCGGTTTTTGTTCACTATTTTTGGGGGGGAAAGGGTGCATGTGTATAAATATGGTACTTCTCTGGAGGAAATGTTGTTCAAATGCTGAAAGTATCTTCATTCACCAAAGCCAAGATCCTGCAGTGCCTGCAACTCAGAAACACATTGGAACCAAACTAAGACGTGGGCAAAACAAAAGCAGCATCCTTGGCTTCCGTAGCATCAGACTGACTGACTAACCCTGGATGTGGAAACCTACCCAGCACTGGGACTGCAGTACCCTTCTGCCCAGCAAAGTGGCCAAGGCCTGTGCTACTCCAGTAGTCGTGGCCCAGAAACAGAGAGGCTCCAATTTCTCGTATTCCCTTTCCAGGTGATTCCAGTAACAAATCCAATCATCAGATTGCTTGAGGTCCTTGCCCCAGTCTCTTCTAGGGGAGCAGGGTGGCAAGCCCACCATGTTGTGAGTGAGCAGAGGCTGTTGGATGGCTAGATGCTCCACCCATTGCTCAGACTGCTGCTCTGGGCCTGGTCTGCCAGCTGGGTCCCTGCTTGGCATTGTTGTGCGAGGGGTCTGGTCACTTGTAAATCAGTGACATGAGTAAAACAGTCAGTACGCCCAGCAGGACTGTGACCCAAAACACCCTGATGCGATACTCCCACAGGGCATGGCACAGCTGTCTGCACATGGACAGATGGAGGGGACGGTGGACGTGGATTAAGTCTGCCAAGTGGGTATCTCGAGGAGCCGGGTTGTGCAGCAGCTCCACTGTAATCAGCATCTCAGGGCCTTCTTCCCTGGCACTGACTTGACCACTTGACAGAGGCTTTTGGATGCAGTAGAGCTTGTATCCATCCAGCCAGACCTCCTGCAGTGTCTGCATCCACGGAGGGAACTGGGTGATGACAGCCATGTTTGGCAGGAGGTTGGGGACCCCTCCGTGGGGAATGGACACACTGGCTCTGCAGAGAGGGCACTGGAGTGCCTGGGATTGTTTCAGGAAGACACACAACCTGGAGAGGCACTCCAGGCAGAAGGTGTGGGAGCACGGCAGGAGCAGGGGCGTCTGGAAAATGTTGTCATAGGGGACGTAGCAGATGGGGCACTCAGGAATGGGCTGTTGAGGCTCCTCTGGCTCCATCTGGGTTGGGGTCTGAGCCCTCTGGCCCTGTCCAGAGCCTATCCACAGCCCTTTGCAGCAGCAGTAGCAACATCCCAGGGCTGCTTAGGCTGAGGGGCACCTCCCTGGGAAGCAGGGTTTAGCAAGTGCAATCAGAAATCCCAGCAGGGAGAGCAGCTCTCCCTGCCCCTTGTCCCACCTTGCCTGTTGCTGCTGCATCTCCTTGGTTGGGGCACTGCCCGGCTCATGCTCCTTCCTCAGCCCAGGCGGCCCAGTGAGCAGGAGCCCAGCGCTGCTCCGTCTGCAGGGCCAGCCTGTTGTGAGTTTCTTTGCCTAGTAACCGACATTTAGCTCTAACTTTCTCCGAGCCAGGGTCAGTTAAGTCCCTCCCTCCTGACATAGCAACTCTGGCTCGGTGCGCACACAGCCAGCTTGCTTACTAGCACACAAAGGAGACAACCTGCTCTTCTCTCAGCCAGCTCTGGAAACTCCCTCAATGGGGGCGGGCACACTCCAGCTCGGGAGTCCCTTGATCGGGGTGGGCACGCAGCCCCTTCAGACAGGCTAGTCAGCACAGCATGGCCCCAACTCAGGCTGCTAAAGCTTTCCCATCCTTTTTGTGGCACTGGGCCATGCGGCACAAACACGAGAGACCTTGTTGTCATAGTCAACAATATACCCAGGGAAAAGCCAAGCTGTTGCCAACCCATGGGCAAGGCCCCTAAAAGGTGTGGCAGGCAGCAGAAATGGGAAAGGAGGGCGTCCCAGGCCTTGATGGCCACCGGAAGAAGTTTCAGGGACTAGACCGTGAGCAAGGTGCAAGGAGACTACTTCATTGTAGGGCCTGAGAGAGAAAGAAAAAGCAAAACCAGACAAGAACAAGAAGAGATGAAAAGAGACCAGTCACTTCTGATAGCCCAGCCCCTCCCAGCTCACTGCTTATCCTGCTGACCGGGGAGGGTCCCATGTCAGAGCAATTGGGAAGACAGATGGGTCTGTGCTAATTAGAAGGCCATTAGTATCCTGCCCTGCCAGTGGCAGAGTCTGCAATGATCTGCCTGCTAGTGTGACAACACAGGGCACTAATGACAGCTGCTTTCGGACTCCACGAGCTGTTCTCTCCTACCCAGGACGTGACAGCTGGTTCTGAGTCTGAACCTTATAAAAGATAGGGCGGCTGCTGCACTCGCCGCAACTGGAGCAGTCAGTGTGTGATCAAAAAAAATTAGAACTTCATATATGTGACACATCCTGGCTGAAGCTTGCTTGGATACTCCCCCTTAGCCTCTGCATACATCTCAGGCTCTTGGACATGTATTGCCAGAAGGCAGGGTAAATATAGACTAACTAAGACCCATATGGAGCACAAGCTTTTATGAACAGAGGTTCACTTCATCAGATGCTGTGGAAGGACAGCATAGAGCGGTGTCTATAGAGAAGTGTCTTTTCACAGCATCTGATAAAGTGAACTTGAGGTCACAAAAGCTTGTGCTCTGTATGGACATTAGTTAGTCTACAAAGTGCGTATCTACCCTGCTTTCAAACTAACATGGCTAACTACTTCTCAACATACTGCCAGTCACCAGTCTCTGTTTGTCTTGAAGACTCCCTATGATGACAGATACACAAGTGTCTAGGCACCAAGCAAGTGATGGGATCTTCCGAACCCTGGGAGCCCTCTGTAATGATCCTCGATGTAGATACAAAGCAGGAGGCTGAAGCACAGGACATCTATTCTGGCTGTGCTGCTCTTTTCTGAAGCACTTGAATCTGGATTTCCCTCAGACTTTGGTGTACTTTTAGCTTTGCAGGGAACAGTGATGGTGCAAGACTCCAGCACAGGGATGAAATCATTCTTAGCACAGCTTTTAATACCAAGCATTCCCCATCTCTACGCCTTCTACAGCTCACTGAGCCAATTAAACATTATCATCTGCTACAAGTCTGGGTTCTTTAATAAGCATTTGTGGCACACCAAGTCTCTAGCCTGACCAAGGAACTTAAGAGACCAATGGATCTACCAGACAGAAAATTGAATGCTAGGTGAAAAATTCACCCTGTTTGAGCTGAAAGCTGCACCCAGCCAATTGTCCTCAGAGTTGCATCAGGATCCTGACCCCCGTACTAGATAAAAAAGCTTGCTGAGTACAAATGTTCCCCAAATACTGCAGGGCAGTGCAGAAGAAGAAAAGCTACAGATTTACTGCAGTGATATTCAGAATTACAGTATCACCAATAACAAATGATTGAGGCAGCAAGGTATGTTCAGGGAACGTCCATCTCCGAATTGCTTCCTTGCTTGTGTAGCCCTGGCAGCGGCACTGCTCACAGCCATATCCAAATTTTTGGGATCCTGGGGTGCCAATAGGTCTTGGTCTATTCCCACTCCATCTACAGGCTGGGAGCACCATACACTGGAGTGCTGTCCCGTGGTCTTTCCCACACCAGACCACACACTAAATAACTATTTACAATAAATTTATTATTTACAATAATAACTGAGAGACTGACAAATTCAACATCCCATAAATAACAAACAAATATTTTCAATGAGCTCAATAATAATCAGCATAGAGCAGTGTAATAATAATATACCAGCAAATACTTATCATATAACAAAAGCAATTATGTTATTGACTTTAACACTCAGGCAACATATAACAGGTATATATACTTAATCAGCCAGGTCTCCACAAAATCACTCTGCCTGCAGCGGAGTAGCCCACTGTGGCGTGGCTGCGGTGGAGCCCTGAGGAGCGGTGCTCGCTCTGCCTCAGAAGAGGGGTGGCAATGCTGTCGTCAGGACAGAAGATGGGGGTACCTGTCAGGACTTTGGGTGTGGCTGCTGTGGAAACCAAGGTTTCTTCCCTTTTCCAGTATTTTCTGGGTGCCTGCAATCAATCACACCATTCCCCAGACACTTCCCAGGGCAGCTTCCCTGTGTTTGGCACCTGGAGTGCCCCTTCCCAGCTGTACTGTGGTGAGCTCTCTGCTGGAGCTCCCACACAGCTGCAATTCCCTGCTGCTTTCTCCAGCTCTCCCAGAAAACCTCCTCTAGCAACCCCCATCCATGATTCCCCCCAGTGACTCCCTGCACTCAGGGATCTTAAGACTCTGGAGAGAAACCCGTTTGCACAACCCCTGCTCCTTTGGTAAAAATTACCAGGCAATCCTGGGTACTCATTAGCTGGTGGCTTCTCTACTCTCAGTAGCAGCTCACTCAGTCACAATTCTTCTGCCAGCCCTTCTCATCACAGCTTTAGCTCGCCTCTCCCCAGCTAGTCTCCCCTGGTTTTTACCCGGCTTCCTGCCCTGGGGTTCCAGCTGTCCAAGCACGTGCATGGATCCTGTGTGCACAGCCTGCTGCACATCCTTGTCCCAAGAGTGCAAACACCTAGACTGAGTTTGCAAGCTCTAAGGAAACCCTTCAGCACCTTTACACTTGTGAATAATGGTTGAGTGAGAGTTGGGCATCAGCTAAGGCTGAAGAAAGAGCATCAAGGATAGCCTGTGACAGAAAAGACCAATTAAATCCTGACAATAATGATTTAAGAGTAGCAAGTTTCTTGCCAGCAGTAGAGGGAAGTGTTTGTAGGAGCCTGTATGTGGCTTTAACTGATAGACAATGGTATACAAATGAACATGGTCTTAGTGAGAAGCTCACAAAAGGAAAGAGAAGGTTTTTAAAGGTTTCTCAGAAGGGGCTCAGAGTTGATTTGCAGACAAAGATGAAATCTGTGCTGCAGCGACAACTATGAAGACACCAGGCAGACTGGGAAACCCTACTGCAACATTCCCAATCAGGAATGGTTAGGTGTACAAATGAGGTGACTGTACCCTAGCTGCCACAGACCGCAGGGGTTTCCATGGATCAGAAGGGCCCAGGAAAGTTGTGGAAACTTTGGAACTTACTAACGGAGATTAGTTGCAGCAAGAAGTCAAGGAACTAAAAAATCACTACCTGGATGAGGAATGGGATCAGACAGAGAATTTGGGCAAGAAGATGATATTGGCAACATTTTCCTACCACATTTGTAATCCACAGAGGTCCAGAGGGAAACGGTTGGGTCCAACTCAACATAATACAAAACCTCACTATCTTTGAAAGGAAAAAACTCCCTGGGAGACTTATTTGGCTCAGTTCAACTTTCCAGTCCATGAATGGCTCAGAGGAAGGTGAGGAACAGGGCTCCTAGCAACTAACTGGAGTGACTGAGCTCTATTGATGCTTCTGAAATTCTCCCTGAAAAGAAGACTGTTATCCTGATACAAACCCTTGACATGATTTGGAGACAGCCACCTATCCAAGCTGAGCTAGACAGAGCAAAGAGGGGAGGAAAAAAAGAAACCCTGTCTGAACTGGCATTGGATCAGTGGAGATTTGGGTTCCTGGCACACCTGATACCAATGAAAACTACCAGGATAAAGTGGCAATGGATCAATTTGTAGATGCTTAGCTGGCCTGGGACTTACAGACCAAGATGAGTGAAAGGAGGCAAAAGACAGCCAGAGAGGCTCTAGAATTAACTCCAGAAAGTCAGACTGTCCCCACAGCAATGCACCAGAAGAGGAGGGCACTGCCACTGAGAAAGAAAGAACCTAACTGTTGTGATGGGTTTTTCCAACCCCTGCACACTTTAAATCCATCTTGACACTAATTTTACAGGAGGGTGGGGTTTGAACACACAGTATCTTTGCTGGCACTTTAATAGCCATGGGCACTTCCACAAGGTAAAGGCAAGCAGCTAAATGCACTTAAAGCAGGTTAGATCTGCCTTAGCTTGGGTCCTGGATAGACTTTTGATGAGTGAGATACTCGGGAAAACTTTCTTACTAGGAGGGTAGTGAAGCACTGGGACAGGCTACTCAGAGAAGTGCAGTATTTCCATCTTCAGAGATTTTTAAGACCTGGCTATACAAAGTCTTGGCTGGGAAGATATAGCTGGGCATGGACCTACTTTGACTTCCTGAGGTCCCTTCCAACCCTCATTTTATATGATTCTGTGATCCTTGTAAGTACAGCTCTGTATCTAGTACATATGATGGAGAAAGGAATTAGGATCTGGTTAATTTTTCTGGTTATTAAAAGAGGTGATAAATCAGTTCATACAATAATAGATATTGGCAGTCATGCAAAGATCAGAGAAGCAGTTCAAGTAAGTACTAGGATTATGAAAAGACTGGCCCAGAAAGAATTGTTGAGACATAAGCTGGGCCAAGACAGAATGCTGTGTGGAAGCCCCTCACCCCACTAGAGGAACTGTAGGCATCAAAAGGAGGTGCAAGGCTTGGACATACAATTTTTTTAGGGCTGGGCAGTTACCTCGATCCTGGGTAAGCTTTTTGAGAGAATTATCCTGGCACATGTCCACAAGGGGCCAACGGGGGGGATTATGCTTAGGGGCAACCAACACGGGTTCATTAGAGGCAGGTCCTGTCAGACCAACCTGGCGGCCTTCTATGACCAGGTCACCAAATCCTTAGATGCAGGGGTAGTAGTGGACGTAGTATTTCTGGACTTTAGGAAGGCTTTCGACACTGTCTCTCACCCCGTTCTCAATAAAAAACTGGGGGACTGTGGCGTCGACACCTACACAGTCAAATGGGTCGCTAACTAGCTGGAGGGCCGCACCCAGAGAGTGGTGGTGGATGGGTCATTTTCAACCTGGAGGGATGTGGGCAGTGGGGT